GTGGGGTGGGTTTGTATTAGTATTTTGTTTTGTGTGGGGGGGGTGGGTTGTTTTGTTTTTTTTTTTTTTTTTTTTTTTTTTTTGGGGGGGGGGGGGGGGTTAAAGTTTTGAAACCCCACATTTTTCCGAACCCCCCCCCCCCCCACCCCCGCTAGGATGTAATAAACGATCGGTCCATAAATCCCATTTAAATGAGTTCCACCCCTTGTTATTGGTTTGTTTCCTATGATACACAGAGTTAAAATCTTTTCTATGCAATATTCATGGCACTTTCATGATGTTTTACAATTCAATTCAACAAAGAGGTGTTTCACGTTTTTCATTATTATAACAGGTCGAGAAGAAGAATAAGCTTGCAATATACTAAATCAGTTTGTTATAACATCAAGAATCCTTATAGATTGATTGACACAACACCTGACTTGTGAAAACAAATCAAAATGTGTGATTTATCAACGAATGAAGGCTGCAACAATATTCAAATAAACAATTTCTATGTTTATATTCAGGAATACCCATACCTTCAACCAAAACGCCTTGTCAAATTTCTCCTCCAACTCATCCTCGGCTTGATTTGGAACGTCAGTTGGACTGCTTTTTTCTTCCATTTCTTTCTCTTCAACAGGAATTACTAAGTACTCGTCTTTCTTTTTAGCCATCCTGCTTTTATAGCTAAAAGCAGGACTAAAAACACAATACCCGCCCGTAAGGTCTCGAAATTAGTCATGCAAAAAATTCAGTCACCCTCGTAACGCTTGACCGTATTTCTTCCATTTGATTGGTTCAACGACAAACGGAAATTGTTCGTTGCTGCACCGGAAGTTGGGTGTTTGCTTGACTGAACTTTTTAAATGCCTTGTACGGTGCCACAGGAAAACCAGGAGGAAAAAGAGGTTTTAGCTTTTTAAATGGCTCGAAAGTAAAAAGGATTGTAACATATTACCTCCTGTTTTTCAAATTGTCGCCATTTATAGCTAGCAACAAGCTCCCTTAGCCTCACTACATTTGCATGCACCCGCGTCTAATAGTTTTGCTAGCGGTACGTACCGTTCAGACAGATACAGTGCTAAATTGTCAGAATCGTGTAATTTGACCAATTAACAATTTAAAGTTTATTGCTGCTAGATCTAAGTGCAAAACGTCGGCATATGCCGCACATTTTTTTAGGAGAAGTAAGCGCGAAGTTTAGTGCCAAACGCATGCGCAAAGGCAGTGATCCAAGAACAGTTAATATTGTTAACGTGGACAGCTCATCAGCATAGCATCTCTTGATGTTTTACATTTCTTAGATGGCATAATCAAACAGCTGGGCGCGCGAGAGTCAGAAAAAGACAAGAAACAAGTAACAGTTAAAAACTAACAGCTGTATTTCGTTATGGCGTATTTAGTTTATATTACAGACCGCCAATAATTTAAAAAAAAGAAAAAATATTTTGCCTTAAAACTAATATACAGTTACATACCTTAAAAAATAATGACTCGATATCTCAGTCATGCTCAGTGTTACGAGTATGAAACGGCCAGTCGATGATTGTCATAGACGAAATACATGCGACTAAAAAAGCAGCTCATATATCTGGACCAAGTTTAAAAATCATAAAAACAAGGATAAATGTTCAATGTTCAATGTCTTTTCTTCTCGCACTTTAAATAATTATTTTACTCAACTCCGCGGATGGCCGCCACAAGGGTGTCTAAACCGCCTCCTTCGAAATCATTCGGCCGGTTAATCTCCTCGGGGTTTGCCACACCAAGAGAGTAAGCTTCAGGCCACTCGGTAGGCCACTCGGCAGGCCCCTCTGTTCCACGACAAACGGGGAAAATCTTAGTGAACAAGGCTCCACTATTGTCGGTGAAATGTTGGCGCGATAAATCTTCTTTCCCGCCTAAGCAGAAGATTATAAGGACGTTATTGGGTGCAGCCAGCCATTTCTCTGTTCGATTCTTGACGCTTTCATCGTCGTATTTGAATACATTCAAAACGTTTTCATTTTCTATTGCCACACATCCAGGAGGTTTAACTTGATTCAGTGCATCACAGAAATGATCTACGATGTCTTGAGCTTCTGAGCTTTCTGTCGATGCTTTGTATAAGAGCAGCACCCTTTTTACATTATCCAAGGATTTTCCTCTCGATACAACAGGTTTAGCTTGTGCTTTGACTGATGATTTTTTCTTGGTTTGTTTGTTTCCCATCTGAAAGAAACTTCAAAAAAGCTGCCCACTCGTTGATAAATAGTTTTCAGTTCAATGCCATACGGACAAAACTTGTACTCAATTCAAGCATTTGAAAAATGAAATCGATCGATTTCTGACTTTGTAACCTTAGCTTGGCGCCGTTCGACTAAAGTCACTTTAACTGAAGGGAAGAAGTGATTTATTAATGACGTTTTTATTTTAACCTGCCATGTAGAATAACATTAAATTAGCATATCAAAGAATAGAATAACAATTTTAGTAAAAGATGTAGTCTCCTCACTTCTGCACTTTCTAATAGACAGCAGTAAACAGTTACAGTCAATTTTTTTATTACTTCATCGACTTACCTTTCCGCTTTAGAACAATTTCATACAAAAAACTTTCTTATTACAAAAATACATATTGACCAGTCCTTTTTAGCATTCCTCGTATTAGTTATTCTACGATCTTTATTTATTCAGGAACTGATAAGCTCTTGTAACATCTGCTGTTTTTGTAGTCCACTTTAATAAAAATTTCCGCCCTAGGATAAAGAGCCTTGAGTTTATCTGTATTTCTAATAAAAATAAAGATAAAATTATTGAGTCAGCGTGGGCATCAATATAAGTTATCAACGGGACTTTACTTTAATGAACGAAACGCAAGAACTAAATTGAGCAGGATAAGAGCAGAAACTGAAACTAAGGATGATGAAACTGAAAAAGAAATATTTAGTATGGAAGATTATGATTTTGGTTAAATGATGGCAGAAATGCTAAGAAAAACGACAGCTAAAGATTGAATTTTTTCGACCGCCATTGAAAAAAATCTATAGAGTTGCGCGTGCGCGAATTGCCAACTAAACTCTTTGCCTTCCGTGGACACAGGACACAACCGCATGACCACAGATGTCAGCAAACCTGGACAGACTGTCACCCACGTGACATCTGTGGTCACGTGGCTGTGTCCACGGAAGGCTACCATAAAGAACGAAGTACCAGTTAGCACTGAATGTCGAAACTGTTCACGGCAAGAATAAAGAGTACCGTTAGTAAAAAAGATACAGGTGAGGTATTTCAAAGAACAGGGACTGAAAACACCGAAAACGTTTTCGAAAACGTCGCTTGTCAATTTTGCCGTTCATTCAGCTTTAACAGTCGCCACAAGTTCTTCTAAAGGATCTTCGAAATCCTTTGGGCTTGTTACATCCTCGGGATCTAGATCCAGGCGAACGCAACCGTCCCAGGCGTTTGGGTTACATTTTCCTAATGAGAATAGCACTAGCTTTCCACTTTTTAAGCTGACATCGTCAAGGAATGACTTGATATCGTGTTTAGAAAGAATACAGACGAGCACGACGCCATTTTGTTTTAGCCATTCTGATATCCACGGCTTGACTTCGGTGCATTGCGATTCAGAGAGAGACAAAACACTGGAAGAATCGTTAGTATCAGCAGTCAGCTGCAGGATTTTTATGTCCCTTTCTTTAATTTCCAGACTTCCAGGGGGCTTAAACGCGTTTACTGCATCACAGAAATGATCGATCATATCGCCTGGTGTTGCCCGAGACGTATCGTAAAGAACCAGAAGTCTGATATGTTTTGTGTCTTCAAGACTTCTTCCTTTAGGAATTACCTTTGGATAAGTTGTTTGCCCCTTTCCTTTCTTTTTCGCATGACCGTTACCCATGATCTGTTGATAAATGTTCAGAATAATAGTAGGTCAAAGCAGGGTTCTACCTAGGATTTATCGTTTGGGCGATATGTCCCGAGTGGCCGAAGGCCACGAGCTTCCTAGGGGGGTCCGGGGGCATGCTCGCCCGGAAATTTTTTGAAATGAATATGCGCTGAGATGCAATCTGGTGCATTTTGAGACCCAATTTTGAGAAATGTTACAGTGGTATTTTATTTTATTTTTTAGTCGTGATCACGTTCTGACAATGTTACACTTAGCTCCGATATTTTTTTTGGGGAAGCTGGGCATTTGGGGGGGGAAGCTTCTACCCCTCATATACCCTAGATAGAACCCTGCATAGATACTTTTGTTCTTGGGCCATCGTAGTTTGATCAAAAATAAAACACAAACAGCGGTGATAAACATTGTGAGCTTTCGCATTTTTATACTTTTATAAACTTGACGTTTCGTATGCTATTCAACATACACTTTCAAAAGTGATCTAAAGTGACCGTTGAAGATAATGATGACACTATATGTACAAAAATTTACAAGGGATCTGGAAATAAGATTAAGAATTTNATGTATCAACCACTGCTTAACAATCAAATGCCTCCATTTCAATGTGCAATGAATTAACAAATGATACTCAGTCATCAATAAATAAGCATTTTATTATGTCCATATATGCAGTTTGTTTCTCTGTCATCAAATCATGCACTTACTGGGATTCTTCAACACTACAGGCTCTCCATGAACATGCATGTTTGTTCTATGAGAAGTGTAATGCAGACCGTGAAGGCAAAATTGTGATAATTCTGTAACAAACTTCTTTGCAAACTTTGTCATTACCATTCAACTCAAAACTGTCAGTGATTTTTGCTCTTTCACTCAAACTCAAATAAAAACACATCACACTTATTGACATCACAGTGTAAAAACACTACTATAACACAGACCGTTAGCTGTCATAACACTGAACAAACTTACAACTACATCCTCCTTTCTCATGCATTTTGTTGCTTTTCTTCTGCATGAGTTAATTCAGACTAAGTATTAGCCTCCACAGAGGAGGGGGGAGGGGTGCGAGAGGTAAACTATATCTATGCAATCCCATGTCCCACCGGGCCCCGGTAAGTTCCACGTAGTGGTTCTAGTTCGTACATACAATAAAGATGATTAAAATTAAGTTTGTTTTTAAATCATTTCTGTTATTAAAATATTAAACTGCCAATTCCTATCAGATGATTATCATAATGTTAGTCACAGATGACTGCTTCGTCTAATCAAACAGAATTACTAACAGATTAACTAAGTTGTTTACCCTATAAGACGATAAAGAATAAATCTGAAGGGTTCAAACAATTTTTTTTCGCTAAATTTAACACCTAAGGACATCAGAGGTGAAACTTTCCCATATTCACGCATAAACAGACAACTGAAAGTTAAAGGGCATCCTCTGATGATCACATGAACAAATGATGGTCAAGTCTTACGAAAGAACCAAGGTAACTCTAATTCGAGTGCCAAATGTCAAACTCTTATAAAATTAAACATAATCTGAAGAGAAAGACTATGAATAATCTATTTTATGATAAAATCTTAGCCCAAAGCTAAGATCACGAAATAAGCTGGCCAAAGGCTCGGCTCTTAAAAAATTACTTACAGGTAAAATAGAGAAACTGAGTACCTGCCTCACATGACATAAAAGATAATAAATTAACTCAATATTAATCACACGAAACCCTCGAGGGTGTCAGTACATTCTCCATCTAAATACAACAAAACAGAACCGAAAATCAACAACTTTTCTATGAATAACAAGTTCCTAGGAGGAGGGCAGTCTTTCATTCACTTAACGTTAGTCGAAACGACTTTTATGCTTTGTAAGCCAACAACAGATAACCAAGAGGAAAATGCTTAAATGCCTTTAGCTAAGGCATACTTTAATATGCGTCAAGTTATTTGAAGTCTAATATTGATCACAGAGTTTCATCACATTTTCCTTTGAATCGACTGTACCGAGCTAAAAACTCGGCTTTTTGATCTTAGCCCTTTGGAGCTTGTTGAGCGTAGTAATCAGAAAAGAAAGAAAAAGTGAGAAATCTTGATTTAAATAAACTGTATATAAGCGATAAGTAAATCAATCAAAGCGAGTCATGTTACCATTTTGATCATGTATATAACAAACCTAAACAGTCCAAAATACCCTTACCTTCATACACTTCTTTATAAAAGGCTTTTTTCAAAGTTTGACTTCCTTTTTGGTCTAAATCGCTTGTGATGAGGATTTAAACCTTAAGTGTCGCACAGCCCTCCCTTGTGCATCGACAATTAATAAACAACTGAACTATTTTAGAGCACCTTATGACGTCACTTTTAAAAGACTAAGCCCGCACTGTTGATGTTGTCAGCGGCGGTAATTGTCCAGAATGGAACCAATATAGTTCGTGAGACTGGAATCAATAGAATCAAAGACCACCTAATTTAAAAATTACACTTTTAATTATCAGTCTATCTTTGTTTTCTTTAACGTTTTGTCTTACCAATTACGATCTTAAATCTGCAACAGAACAAATTTTGTTGTATTTTTAGTAACGTAGGAGTTTGGAGAAGACTATCACGAAAACAGAGCTAACTTATTGATGCCAAGTATTTTCCAAGTTTCTGGCTCTAAGTTTAAAAATCTCTTTTCTTGAGCGGGGTAGGGGACTTTCTTGCCCTTAATTTCACTTATAAATGCGTGCAATCTTGAAATGAAACATTTTACTGCAAATGCATGCATAGCAAATTGAAAAAAGAAAATTTCTCATCTTTTTCCCGCTATGTACTGAAGTTTAAAGTCTCGCCCAAAGTGCTTTGCATGCTGAAATACATTTTCGCCATTTGGAGCATTGTCGGCGCCATGCCATGTGATCATCGATCTATGGAGGATTCCTTGGTTGTCAATCCCTGGACGTTTTTCAACCTCGTATGTCTCTTCCACATCGCATCCAACCATGCTGGAAATCTTACGCTGCACTGATTGGCTTGTAGGTTGTTTGCATAAAAGATCATCTATAAATGGCTTAAAAAATCTACCACGCGGCAGTATTCCAGGCCTTTGATGGGTTCTGTTCCGATTAAGAGCAAGGACAAGTACTCTTAAGTTCACTGAACTCTGAAAGTCGGAGGGCGGGACATGAGATAGACAAATTCTCTTGAACCCATGCAACACTGTTTTAATAGTATGCAAAATTATACAGCTCACATATTTTTCCTTTTAATATGACTCCCTAGAAACCTGAATTTTTAAAAGCGGTTTGTGGTTTGCTTATGAAAACATTTTCGTTTCACCTGCGATCAAAATGAAACACGGTGGTTATTTCATCACTTATTTATGATAATAGCCTGGATTTACCGTCAATAATAAGTTTTTGTTTCAAAATGGCTGCTAGGATGTCCTCAGTCAAAACTGCTTTTCTGCTCTTCACCGAAGACCAAGAGGAGAACTGTGAGAAACTGCGGACGGTTTTAGAATACAACTCTGACGGTTGTATATGTATTGTTGACTTGGTTGATGTGCGTGGTTCATCACTGGAAGAGAAACTTCGTGATGGCTGCGATTGCATTTTGTTAGTTTGTTCTTCGCTCGCTGTACAACTGATCAACGACGAAGAATCTTCAATTTTTAAAACGAAAAGTGGGCATCGAGTTAAATTCGATGGAAAAATCATTAGCAAAGTCTTGAAATGCAGCGACGGCAGGGTAAGGAAGAAAGTGATTCCGGTATCTTTTGCAGAGTTACCTTCGGCACTGCATCAGAATCCTGAAGAAAGGAAGAAATGTCGATACAACACGATTTCGTTTGAGATAAAACAAGGAGAGGTGAATGAAGAGATGCTGGAGGGTGATGTTTTGGAAAGTTTGATCGATGTCATAAAAAAAGCGAAGCCTTAAACCCTCTCATGTGACAAACTTTTGCAGCTCGACTCTTTAATTCTGGAGACAAGGAAAAGCAAAACCCATCAAATAGCCAAGAACTTGATATTTTTAGACTTAATGCTTTTAAAACGCATGCTATCATGAGATAAAATTTAAAACAGGATCCGTCCTTCAGTTCAAGATGACCTGGTGCGCAAGCACAAAGAACCGCAACTAATTAGTATAAGTCGTATAGCTCAACAAGAAGCAGTACAAAATATTTGTTTTTGGTAATATAGAGATGGTCCGGAATCCGCATGTGATCTATTTCGAGAAGATACTGAAAAAGGCATTGAAGTATACACAACACTCAGTTGAAGTATGATCAACGATCAGTTCCGCAACACCAGAAGTCACCCAGTAGAGGATTCACAACGCGCATGATCAAGCGTACATCCTTTAATCCTTTAAACCCTAAGATCAAAATTCGAATTCTCAATTGTTGCCCCTATTCGTTTTCTACAGAAATAGTGGGGAGAAGTTGATAAAATATCAAGCAAATTCATCTTGCGTGATCATGTCTGCAATTCTC